AGTAAAGTGTATTTATTCCTGACTTTATCTCCAACATCGATGTTCCAAGTTCTTTTCTGTCACCATTTGAATTTGCGCGACCTTGAGTGTCGCGATGAAATTTGTAGTTGTTTGAAAGTTACAGCTCTGATTTGGAAAATATTTTAGGCCAAGCAGCATGGGAGTTCATTCTTTTTAAAAGATTATTCCTGTCCCATGAGAGTGTTTGTTAAGTTGAACACACGTATTCTAAATTTCCCACCTCCTTTCATTCAGTGCACAGTAAATTAGAAAATTAATGAAAATATTCTACCTTAAATAAATTGATAAATTATTTGGCTACAAACTACTCACGGATTATCTACTATACTTGAAGAACTGAAAACATAGTCCAAGAAACACACAAATTGATCTTCCAAAGTTGACCATGAGGTGTGTGGCTCGTTGAATAAGCGTCCTGTAGTGTCACCATACCCAAACCGGATGAAACTTTCAAAAGGTTTTGGCATATAATTGAAGCCGAGAGGCAACTTAAACGAGACTCGCGTAAATCTGATGGCTCAGTTGGTGTCTTGTGGAAGCGCTCCGATGTGAACACAAGTCCAATTTGTTGCATATTCAACGAAATTTCTCCATTAAGACATAAACCGAGAGGGAGAAAACCGGCCATATCAACGTAAGATGATGATTGTATTTGATCACAGCAGAGAATAGTTGCACCAAACCAATCTGGAGGATAGTCCGGGCTGATTGGCTATTTTTTCCCCACGCTTTCGTTTGGAAAATGATGGCTCAATTTGAAATGCAACTGAGGCCACGTGATATGAAACTGTTATCAAACGCCCAACAAAGCAGAGCATGTATTGATTTTACCAGCAAATTCAAATCGCATCCCCCGCCCATTTGACAATGGGTTTATCTCACTGGTGGCCAACGAGTAAGTCAGCATATTGTGAAAGCTGATCTACTGAGCTAGTTTTCTAATGAATTTCTTTTTACCTGTAAAAATAAATGAATATCTATCCCGCCTAACGAGTTGGAAGGGAAGTGATTATTGAGCGCATTGTTGTTGGTCTCCTGCATACGCCAATATGGACAGAGCAAAATTTCTTGCACTGATAAGGGAGGTTTTTGATAACTGTCACTCCCAAAATGCATTCACAGAAGTCATACTTTTCTCATGTGAAGGTCGGTATATCAGCTCGCTTGAGGTTGGTGGTAGAAAACGGTCAGATCTAAATAAATATTTTTTTCACATTTACGCAGTTTCTAGAGGAGTCAATTTCAATGTCAAATTAGTTCTATTACCGCGCAGCAACTGAGATTTTAATTTAATCAAAAACGATTCCTTCTATCAGAAACAGGGATAAGGTAGCTACCTTGGTCGCCAGTGGTAAGGGTGTGCGGTGTATCAGAGGAAACTTGCAAATTCCGTTTGGCAGTCAACTTGGTGGATTCCATTCTAAAGCGACTGTCTCCAGTGCTAAAAAATGAAGAACAGCAGATGGAACATGGATGAGATGAATGAACAATACCTGTATAATGTCTGAGTCATTTTAATTAATAAATTACAGTTACGTTTTCTACTGTGACTGTGTTATCTTACAACTGATGCACCAGCAACCGTCGTCAAAATCGTGAAATTGTACATTTTAATGCCATGTGGCTAACAGAAGCAGTGACATACGTGGGTATTATATCAGATATGTTGCGTCTGATGTGGGGCAATGTCATATTCAATCCCGTTAGTGAGGCTGGAAAAACGAAGCATTGAGAGGAACAAATGTGATGAAAATCAGGATGTTGCACGAGTTTGGTCAACACCTGTATACTTTCGGAATTGTGTGGACACCCGGTGAACATGCAAGAATATGTTTGCACTTAACGTTTGTGTCCCCATGTTGGTGGTGTAAGAAAAATTCTCCATTTCTATCACGGATCTTTTATGAGGCATCGAAAATCTGTGTCTCTTCCCTTGGAGTTAATAACCTTTTTCCTCCTGCAGGTCCCTGTCACATTGACAGAAGTTATGTGAGAACATTCAGATAAGCTACAGTATTGGTATTGGTTCGATTTATCACCTTACGTTGTAATGGATGCCGGAACCTTTTTCCAACGTAGCGCTGTTAGTTAGATCAATAGTTTTCCTAGTCATGATCAACCAGCACTTTTATATAGATGCACATATGGTACTTACGAGCAGTCTGCATCTAACATCAATTTTTTTCCTAGGATGACTGTCGTTCAGGTGCGCCGAATATCCTAAAATATCCTAAAAATCATCATGACAGCGTTAACGTGTAAAAAAACACCTCTGAAAAGCCCCGGAAGCATTCTACGGCAATGTTATTCTGATTTTAAATCATCTACAAAAGTAGTGTATGAACGACTCGAAAAATTTTCCATGAAGCCACGCGATGGGTTTCGTGAGTATCATGAGTATCTAGTAATCTTTTGTCAGTTCATCCAGATATCGAATTCAATGGAATAACATCTGGGATACCACGCATTTTTCACTGGGAGGCTTGCTTCAGGTCGCTACCACTGAATATAACGCCTAATCTTTCGCTAGCTGTACCGCAATTCACCGTCCTGTGACTGACTCACAGACATGCGATTTCTCAGCAAAGGAGTTGGAAGCCCGCATTTAGTGAGCTAACTGATCATTCGCTAACAACGTGGATTTTATAAGATGCATGTAAAGCAACTCACGTAAACAGCTCAATCCCTAGTCGGCGCACATTTCGTGTGCCTTCGTGGTAGCACCAGGATGAGAAGTGCATCGGCGCACCGATCACTGACAGCGAGTAGTGACAACTGAACTCCGTATTACATGATTTTGACATGTATTACGCTGCTGAAGGCCAGTCCGGAGGGCCTAAATGGTTGGTGCTTCAGATTTACATACTCTCTCACTGACTACTGGATTCGATAGATTCGCATTACTGTTGGGGCCTAACAACGTCTTGCTTTCAAGGGTTTTCAGTAGTCAACAACTCCACCACTTGAAGATTTCGGGTGCCGTAGTATGCCATATCTTCAAAACTGATAAAATTTATACGTTAAGCTTACCAGTAGTCCGTACAAACCGAAGTTCGTCTCACTTTATCTCGCTATATCATAATCATTCTTATAAATGACTTATATATTTCTTGTAAAATATTGATGTCGTCTTCTACCAAAAGCATCGAGTTGCATATTCTTTCTGGTTCGATCACATTACAGTATAGCCTTAGATTTAAAAAGCCTGTATACCTTCTTGCTTCGTTTAGAATTGGGTCTTCCTAGCTGCTGATTACAGGCAAACCATCAGTGTAAGCAGTCTGTATGTAGAACTTCTCTAGCGGTTTGATTTTATTTCTTTGTTTCTTATCGGGAAGAATATCGTCTTCTTTACTTTCAAAATGGCTAGAGCCTTTAGGAATATTTTTCACCATGAAATATGAGTCCTCTTTTTAATACAAACATACTGTTTCACTTGATCTTGTAATTTTATCCACAGTAATAAACAGTTATTTGTCAACTTTCTCTCCTAGGAAAACTCTGCACGTGGATTCTACTCTAAATGCCAACAGAGAGAATGTAAAATCGGAATCGGAGACTGCTATTCCCCCATCTAATGAAGTCACGGAATCCATCAAGCCTGATCATCAAGATGGACATAACGAAAATCAGGATTCCGAAAAGACCAAGGTCAAATTTGAGGATCATCCAGACAAACATAACGATAAGCAGGAAATCAACGATGGTGCAGTTGAAGTGAAGCCCAAAAAGCGGGGACGAGGCGCAAAAGGTTCCCGTGGTCGCCATTCGTTAGACAGTTCAATAACTCAAGAGGTTCGTCGGAGTGGTCGAGTTCGTAAACCTGTGGAGTTCCTCACAATGGAAGTTCTACAACCTAAGCGTGTACGTCAGTCTTCTAAACCAACAAACCAGACACCGACCACAGAAGCTCAGACCAATGGCGCAAATGTAGTAACCAAGAAAAAAAGACGCTCGAAAAAGCTTGAAGAAGAGCCGACGAAAAAGAAAAAGAAGAAGTCAAAACGGAAGCGACGTCATGGGAAAAAATCGAGAGGATCATATGTATGGCTCAGCGCCACATCATCCAGTGAATCGGATGACGATGATGCTTTCGAACGTGCTCTACTCGAACATGATCTAATGTCAGTTAGCGACACTGCAGATACGAACGGAAACAAACCTGATGCACTCGATTGGCTTGACAAACCGGAAAGTGATTTTAATCCAGATGAGTTGTCCAGTGAAAGTGATGTTGATAGTTTGACACTAGGACGAAACTTCGCGCGACAGAAACGTCTGGAACGAATGCGTGCTGCCGAAGCCGCCTCGGTCTTGGCTTCAAATAACACTGCAGACGAGACATGTCAGGTTTGTGGCAAGGCGCATGAGCCTGAATGGATTTTGCTCTGTGATCGATGCGACAAAGGTCATCATGCCATGTGCCTCTGTCCTCCACTTTTTTTCATTCCCGAGGGCGATTGGTTTTGTCCGCGTTGTCAACATGCTACCTTACTGGAAGCTCTAGCTGAGTGTGCTGATCAAATCGACGCTGAGCAAAAGAAGCAAACAATCTGGAAACGGATGCAGGAACGTCTTAATTTCGTGAATATCAGCATGACCAATATACTCGCTGATGGGGACGAAGAGGATGGAGACAACGGAGGTAGGCGGCGTGCCCGGTCGACTGCGAATATGGTTTACAGGGATTCGTACTCGTCTCAAGAGGATGTTGACGGTGAAAATGAAGACGCTTCTCAATCGAACTCTGGAGAATCTGCTACTCCTTACAGGACCGATGGAAGTGATAGTGCTTCAGAAACATTTGGAGGGCGACGTATTACGTCACGTCGTGCGGCTCGGCATGCTCGTCTTGTAAATGGTTTAAATAGAACTGAAAGACGATCAGCCGCTTCGCGTCGAGCGCGTAACCGTTGGCTTTCTGGTTCAGAAAGTGAGGAAGAAACTTCATCTTCTAGTGCGTCATTTGCTCCTCCTGCACCTAGAGCCGCTCGACAACGACCCGTTCAATATGATCTCGGAGAAGCATTCAAGCAATTAGACGAAGCCCTAGAAGACGATGAAAAGTATCAGGAAGAGAAACGTCGTCGGCGCAATCGACGTCTGAATCGTGAGGAAGAAAGTGGTAGTCCACGGGACCTGGATGCTCCTGCATCACCTTCATCTGGTCCTCCTCCGGGTCGCTCCCGTGGTAAAGATCTATCAAATATTATGGGTCCCAACTGGGAATCACGGTTAGAGCTAGATCGACCTAGTCGATCACGAAAACGCCGGGCTGGCGTACTTTCCAGTTCATCAACCGATTCCGAAGAACAGCTTCCAGTTCCTGGTAATACGAGAAAACGCAAGATGAGCTCAGACGACGCGGAGGATGCAGACTTCCGACCCTCTGGCTCAAGCGAAGAGCTTTCAGAACAAAGTGAAGATGTAGACGAGACAGGCTCGACCTCCGAATCGGACTCGAGTTGGCTGTGTGCTGCTCGACGACGCAATCGTAAAATGGGAAAAAGAGGACCCCGAGTTGCAAACTCTGGACGTAAACGGTCCAAATACTTGGGTCGGCGTCGAGGTCGCCCAGTTCCTCGTTTTGAACAAAGTGAAGACGAAGAGTTGCTTGACGATGTCAGGTCACCCTTAAATGCCTCCAAACCTCGACCCAGAAGGTGCGAATCATTTGGGTATTTATTTGTCTGTATGCATGTGACATTGATATCCTTATTGCCATTGAGAAAAGTTTCCGCGTTGGCGGTGCTGTTTTTTGTGGGAACAATCCGTGATCTGCGTACAGATGAAGTAGAGGGCTTGGATGTAGATAGTTTCTGATGCATTCGACGCATCCGATTCATTGGGGATTGTACAACTCAAAACAAGGCATGCTTCATTGTGTTCATTACGAACTAGTTTCGGCGAGTGTGCTTGGGGTCGATATAGCAACTTATGCAAATACTGCAGTTGGTTGGAACAGCGCCTCGCCGCGATTAATTGATTCATTGCTGACATTGCACAATACAATCCTAGTCTCT